TACGGGGCCCGTTTTCCCGGGGAGGGGAGAGGAGTGATGGTTTAGCGCGCGAAACGTTCGTGGATTAGCGCGTCTTTCGGTTCGTTTTTCGTTTAGCCCTCAAGGCCCGGTAATTTGTAGACGGCTACTATAGTCGGTGCGGGTTCATGAATTAATCAACACACACAGGCGGCAAGCGCAGTCTGTTGTTTGCTGCCGCGTGTCTGAAAATACGGGGATTCTCTTTCTCTCTTTCTATACGCGGCAACTTCCTCGCGGTCCGCGTCCGACGTTTCCTGCCACAAGGACCGTGCGGTATACGGAAGAAATGGGAACGCAGTGACGTGGAAAAGGGGCGAGATGAGAGAGAGAAAAAAAAAGCCGTCTGGGTAATATGGGGAGAAACGATGGAGTCCAGCCAATTACCTGCGCGTCCCCTTCTGGTTAGGCTGGACCATTCGAGAGGCTGCAATTTTCGCTTTTCTTCGACCTCTCGCGAACAGACGACTGGGAGGGATGGAACTATACTGTCTGGTATAATTATAAAACCACCCTGAAATTTTCAATCCTTGTGTATTGTGGTTACAATAAAAACAAACCAGTTTTTTTCCTAGGGAATGTAATCTATCCTTTTCTGGAGAAACATTATTTCTTAAGATGATTTCAGAGATAGCGTACTTGATTCGTTTTTGTTTTACAGTGATCCCTTGTCAATTATTTCAAACAAGATGCATGTCGAACCAATGAAAACAGAGTGAACAGAAGCTAAGCAGAGGCTCGGCTTCGGGAAAAAAAAGAAATTTATGAGATGCTGAAAATCTTTCCGTGTTGCTACGAATGCTTCAAACTGCACCCGAGTACGTCGCACTCATCGAGACATGTACGTAAGAACATTACATAATCACAATATGTAAGAATTGAAAATGTTAGAGTGGTTTTGTAGTGATGTCACGGGGGTATATTGGTGGGAAAAACTCGTATTCACGGTGAGGTGGAGAAGAGGTTAAGTTCGTCATCGCGTTTTGGAGAACGGAGTAGGGGGAGGGGGGTATAGGCATCAATTTCGACCAGGGTCGATCCTAGACGGATATTCGCGAGCCCGTATCGTTTATTTTGATTTGCTGGATTCGTTATCGGTGGCCCTGGGACGGGTGCTCGGGATTAAGAGATTTCGACGGGGGAATTTATGGGGCGAGGGCTTCTTCGGCGCTGGGACTTCATAAATAAAAGCCGGATCGAACCTCGGCCCTGTTTCGCAGCCGGCGGATTCGATCCGGCGTCGTTTGTCGTTAGAGTCGCGCCTGTTACGAGCCCCTCGGTTGGTGTAAATCGTGCGGTAAAGGAGATCAGCAGGGACCGTGCTTTGGTTTGTCCCCGGATGGTCAGTTGATTTTGCTCTTTAGCGTTTTTCGGGTTGTGTGTATTAGATTAAATCATAACACAACTTGGGGTAATTTGGGCTCAATCACGGTAATTTTTACGAAAGTAAGGAAATGATCATTTTCGATTTCGAGAGGAGTTTTTATTTCCTGAAACAGTCTGCAATTAACGTTAGGATATTGTAAAGTTTCTGTATTATTGTTAACCTTTCTTTTTAATTATGAGGGCCGCAGTGGCCATACCCAATGCTTTAAAGTAAGCACGTTTCAATACGTGTTGATATATAATCATTTGAAAATTTGTGAAAACTTCTATTATTTCATTAAGTTATTAAATGTTGCAAAGCAAATTCGTTTGCACTTTCCAGTTTCAGAAATAATAGTTTTAGAAAACCATACAAATTTGAAAATCCGAATAAATGTTAATGGAGAATTCTCATTTAGACGGATCGGTAGGAGAGTGTATCTAATGGACAGCAATGCGTTTCGTGTAACAGATGCGTAATAATATTTGTTCCTGTATTTTGTTCCATGTACCGGTGGCTTTTGTGCTTGACTGTAAATAAAATTCATTCACGCGAGAGCAGAAATCACGATTCAACGGTTTTACAGGTCGTTGCGAGTCATGAATTTACAACGTTCAACGGACCGTATTGGCCCTAACGTGTTTATTTTGTGTTATCGTATCCCATGACGAAACAAAGCGTCCGGAAAATAGGGAGAATTGTAGGAATTGTGGAATATTAGAAGGTAAAAAGGGAAGGGGGTTTGGAAACGAAGCAAAGATACGTGTATATATGTATCTTTCTTTCAACGATTCTTCTTTGGTGTACAGTCGACCGGAGTTGTGCTTTCTGGAGCAGAATCACCGAAAGAAAGGGACGAATGTCGAGAGTCATTCAATGAAAAGAGAATAAAAAGGTCTTGCATTATTCTTATTACTATTACGTATTCGTCATTGTGGATCAGAACATATACATAATATATTTAAGTTACAAAGGGCTAGATATCCATTACAACCATAGGTTGTTATAAAACCTAACCATATTTAAGGGGTACCAAAAGGATAATTGAAGATAATTTCTCGAGTACCTTACAGATAATACAGTAAAGCCAGAAATGTCCAAGAAGATTGGACAAAAAACTTTACGGCGGAAAGAAACCGTATAATCACGTGGAATTCCGAGCATCGAGTTCGATACAGTTCATTTTCCTCGTACTCGCGAGGAACGAGCGCCACCATTTCAAAACTGGCCCGGGAAAAAAAGTGTTCGCCATTAATTAAATAAAACTATTGGGTCCGTGGTACATTTTAACGAGGTTCTACCTGTTGTCCGGAGTTTTGGGGGGAATTCACTCGCACCGCGAAACTGGAGCAAACAAGATGCAGGCTGAACGCGAGGAAATTATGGACGGGGGTGTGTGGATGCACCAGTGGCCAGCGAATCTTTTCAGAGCAGTAGAAATTGGCGAGATTTATGGTACTTTCACCAGCTGAAATATTAATGAGACATTATTCCGAAAGTTTGAAGGAATTGGGAAAACATAATTATTTACCGGAAATACGATGGAAAAGTTGTAAAAATAGTAGAAGAAAAAAAAGGTGCATAATGCGACCAAGTTGAAAGTTGTTAATATTAAATAATGCATGAAATGCAAAATTCGAAGGCTGTCTGGTGATAAAACTGTCTATATTTGCGTTGTATGTAAAAAAGCAAACAATTACAGAAAATGATAAATGAGCGTCGCAGATGTTTATAAAACAGGCCGTTTATAATTGCGTTTTAAGGTGCTTCTTTACATACGACAAAAACATAGTTTGTTTTTACTCAACAAGTAGTAGAATGTTATCTCTTCAATATTTTACACGTCTGAAAAACCATAAATTTGGCTGTTTTCTGTCATTCTTCTTTTATACGTTGAGGGTATCAGTTTTGCGCGATAAACAAAAAACAGGAAGAGGAATCGATGGAAAATGTGCGCTGGACGCTTGACGCGACCCATTGTTTCTCGCATAATTGAAGCTTCCGTGTGTGTTTGTTTTCACAAAAATATTATATTTCAAGTGGATATTACGTAGGGTATTATTCATGGACGTGTATTGTTAAAATATTCGATAATATTCCGAATAAAAAGGATGCTCGGTGCTTGAAAATTGTTTACAGCTTAAAAACGCACGGGGGATATCAATTATATGAAAAAAATTCGTATCCGAAAGCATTAACACTCACGAGGCTCCCACAAACCAACGCGAAATATTCGCAGCGGCAGCAAATATTTCGCGGCGATAGATTTTTTATAGATACATTTTTGCGGAAATTTTTCGCATTGGTGTGAACAGTCTCATAAGACGCCATGCATTTTAAACTGTTGCGAATCTATCGCCGCGTAATATTCGCTACCACTGCGAATATATTGCATTGGTTTGTGGTAGCCTTAATACATTCATGTTAATCATTATACAGGGTGTCCCACCCAACGTACCTTCAATTCTTTTTGAAGATACAAAACAATATGAGGGGATAATGTTATTTGGGGCAAATACCGTGATAAACAGCAAATTTTCTCAAGGTCATATTTTTCGAATTTTCTAGATCATCTGTGTTTGTTTTTTTAAATAGGACCATATATTTTTATCATTGTGGCGTAATAGTTTAGGTCAAGACCAATTCAACGACCTATAATAGTGTGATCTTCATGTGACCTCGGCTACGAAAATCTACAAATGTGTGGGAATAGATGAGAATTTTAGGATTAAAAAAAAATAAAATTAAATATTTAAGGTGTTCACGTTAGGCAGGACACTGTATATATATATCTTCGATATTTGGTCCTACGGCAATTCTCTGTGATGTAGCCGAAGAAAACGGAGGGTAGAGTTTAGTTTCCAGTTTCGCGAGTGCTTACCGCACATGTGCTACCAACAAGTGCCTTCTGTATGGGGGTTTAACGTCTGGTAAACGTGGCACTTTAACTAACCCTAGGCGAGCAAATTTAATGGACCAAAGTCAAAGGAACCACGGGGGTGGGGGGCTGTATAAGGGAACTAGCTCGTCCAGTTTCAGATTAAGGTACGCGAGTAGCCTCTGTGCCTTAATAAGCTTTTGTGCCATTGTCCCCGGCGCACTCGGACACAACGCGATGACAAGTGGTTGCGTTGGAAGTTGCACATACTCCGACCCGGCTCGTTCATCTTATGAACGTGGCGCGTGCGGTGCGACGATTGCGATATTCTTTGGACGATCTCCAATACTCGCTCTCTATAAACGACCCGCAAGGACACGGGCAGAGCTGGCAAGTTCAACTTCATCGTGGGTCCAAGTCGAAGGATAAGATGAACTAATCGTATCAGGAACGTCGATTTTCCGTTTACCCTTGAAGCGTTTCATGTTTCGAAACAACATATACGTTTTTTACTTCACCGTGTTATCGATTTCGTTTATCCCATTATTTACGGCAACCTTGTCAAACTATCCATAGTATTTGCAATTTCTATTTTTCGCAATAAGAAAGATAGGGAAGTCATCGATAAGTTGTACGTAAATTGATACAAGTCTATAAGTAATGGCCTTTCACTGCCCACTACCAGAACAATGGTGTAGGTCCCTTTATGAGCAACTTCGCTGAATACCACAGACAACCATGTCGGTCTCGTTGTTTCGCTGGATCCTCCTGTGTTCTCTGGTGATTTTCGCGTGCTGCACGGACACCCCGAACGACGCTGTACCCACGAAGAACCTGAAGATCCTCGGGGTTTTTGGTCACCTGGGAAGGAGCCACTTCATGCTTCTGAAGCCTCTGGTCGAGGAACTGGCCCGCCGTGGTCATAACGTGACGGTGATCTCACACTTTCCTAGAACCGCGAAGGACATTGCTGCGGATCCGTTGCCAAATTATAGAGATATCAGCTTGCTAAGTGACAGATATAATATCATGGTAAACGTAATCGAACCAGATAGTATACGCTTTCAGCCGATTTTCAAGATATTTGACTCGTTGGACATGTTGTACCGAATGAGATCTCTGGCCTGCGAGGCAGGTCTGAGTCATCCACGAATGAAAGAGTTCGTCGAGTCTGGGGAGAAGTTCGATCTGGTGCTCACGGAGAACTTCAACACGCACTGCTTCTTCATGTTGTTTCATCGGATCGGCGTGCCTTTCATCGACATATCCACGCATCCGCTGCTGCCCTGGGTCCCTGACGAGCTAGGCTTCTCCGTAGAGGACAGCTACATACCAGGGTTGTGGACATCCGTGTCACAGCCAATGGACTTTCTGCAGAGGACGTACAACGTGATGACGATGTGGTTCACAAGAATATTTGCCACCACTGTGTTCCATTGGCATGATCAGTATATGGTGAGGAGAATCTACGGTCCCGAGTTTCCTGACCTGAAAGAGATGAGTCGAAACGTATCGTTGGTGTTCGTGAATACGCATTATACCCTTCACGGTGCTCAACCGTTTCCACCGAACGTGGTCGAAGTTGGGGGGCTTCACATACCGCCCAAGACGAGTCCGTTGCCACGGGACATAGCAAAGTTCCTCGACGAGGCTCACGAAGGGGTTTTGTATTTTAATCTCGGCTCAATGGTGAAAATGGCCACCGTGTCGAAGGATAAACTGACGATCTTGTTGAATATGTTCGCCTCTATACCGAGGAAAGTGATTTGGAAGTGGGAGACCGATGATCTGCCCCAGAAACCTAACAACGTTCTGGTCAAGAAGTGGCTGCCGCAGTACGATATAATGAGTAAGTGAAAAAAATGTTTCGTTCTTTTGGTGATTTTTTTACTCCTGGCCTGTGTAATCGAAGGGTACAACATAATGGAAATATAGTTATAAAGCAAAACACCTTGAGAATCTGCCTTACTCTCCTGTCGCATTGGATTAATGCTGGTGGCAAGTCATATATCGTAGATATTCTAGGACGATACGTATAGTGTGATGAACACTGTACTTTTTGGACGACCTCCAATACTCGCTACAGCGAATACTCTCTTTTAAAACAGCCCACGTAGACATCGGTAGCGCCAATAAAGAACACTTACTCTTCGATCTAACAAGGAGGGGTACCCAGGTGTAACGCTGACTTTTTAATAAAGTTTTGCACAGTGATAGAGCTTGGAATTCTAATGACAATGATATTTGTTTCAGACGCATATGGCCATTAGTTTATGAGATACTTGATGTACAAGGTGTAGCCTACGAGATGATTCCAAATTGGTAGTACGACCCGAAAGGATGTAATTCTATGTGTAAAAATAAGTCGAAAATTTACAATAATATTTTGTCGTATGATGCTTCGTTTTCAAGATAATCAATTTTTGACATTCATCCAACACGTACGAATTCGTGTGACAGTAAGTAGAAACAGACCGTAATGAACAGACGCGTTAACCGAGTCCTATGCGATTGAGTCCAGCAGATTTTCAAATTCGATTGTTTCAAAAACATCAAAAGCATCATACGAACAAAATTTATTCTACATTATGGGTTTATTCTTGCATGTAAAATCACATCCTTTTGGGTTGTACCACCAGTTTGGAAACATCCTGTAAATAGCCTATAATTTTAACATAAAATATTTTATAACCTAATATGGGACTGAAACAAATATTATCCGCTTCAGAATTCCAAGCTCTATCGTTGTGCTAAACCTCATCAAAAAGTCAGCGTTATATCTGGTGGCCTTTCCTTGTAAGATGTTAAACGACGAATGTTTGAATCGTTAATTGTATTCGAACGTCTACGTTCTAATTACGTTTTCAGCGGTTTAAGTTGCAAAACAGTGTACAATTCTTTCCCCAACACTTGTAATTCCCATGCTCCGCGATAAGCAATCGGCAGTTCCGTTGGACATGCGCAATTAAGCGATTCTAGGCGACCTTGCGTCGCAATATGGATATCGTTCAATGTCAATGACTCATGTGTCCCGTGCTCTATCGACTTTCGTTTCTAGATCCAAGGAATTTCCCTCATTTCTCTATCAGTCACAAATTCTCGAAGCTCACTGATGATTCGACAGTGTTAATACATTCACCGAATCCAACGTAACTGAATTCGTAATCGAGAAAAAAGAAGAACTTCGAGACACGCCAGGTATCGGTTTGCTAGACGCAAACAACTGGGAAAGAAAGAGAGAGACGGCTAAAACTTGGGCTCCTTATGTTACGAGCCCGGAATAGCAAGTGCTCCGTCCGTTGGCCGTCGATTACGTCTTTGATCAATTATATAATGGCAGGCGCGTATTAACCGCGACATCTCGTCCGTCCACTGGCTTTTCGTATCGGATGGTATCGGTATTATCTTTCCGATAATACAAGACGTGACTTCCCTCATCCGATAATAATCTATCGTTCACGAGTATGCTGTTCTATTCAACAGGGAAATAGTTAAGAAAAATCGTTATGATAAATCGTTCGATTTCGCTTCAGATAAGTCCGTCGATTGCGTTGTAATCACGAAAAGATTAGTATGTTTGGATGTACCATTTCATTGTACCGTGAAGGTATTTACAATCACGGTATCGTACCGAAGGAAAATATGCGTGCGATGTTATCGTGAGCTACGGAACGACATTGTTATTATCGTTCACCACTCGGTCGTTATATCGATCCCTCCCGAACACTACCGGCACTGTGGTGTCTCTACGTCGAAACTTTGTCAGAGGCAGCGTTCTCTGCGGACCCAGTGACGAAACGTCGCGCACACGGCTCATTTTGTGCTCGCCTCTACGAGAATCGGTGGCTGGTCAGACCGTTCGGTACGTTCCCACGACGAAGATCGTAGACCAACGACGGCCATGTTGGTATCACGGCTCGGATGGATCTTCCTGTGTTGTTTAGTGATCGTCACCTGTTGCACGGGTACCATCAATGATCCCAAGCCCAAGAAGAAGCTGAAGATCCTCGGTGTTTTCGGGCATCTGGGCAAGAGCCATTTCGATGTTTTCAAGCCGTTGCTCGAGGAACTGGCGCGACGTGGTCATGACCTGACGGTGGTCTCGTATTTTCCGCGAACCGAGAAAGCGATCGCGACGGAACCATTACCGAATTACAAGGACATCAACTTGAAGACCAAGGACGTGGATGTGTTTGTAAACGTGGTGGACCTGCAGCGAATCCGTGACACATATTTCAGAGTGTTCATTGAACTGTACTTCCTGAACTCTATGGCGTCTGTAGCCTGCGAGGCTGGTTTGAATCACCCAGATGTCAAGGATCTCGTTAAATCGGGGGAGCAGTTCGACGTGGTGCTCACCGAGAGCTTCAACACTCACTGCTTCTTCGCTGTGTTCCATCGTGTCGATGCACCTTTCATCGAAATATCCACGCATCAGCTGATGTCCTGGACCGTTGATGAATTGGGCATCTCCAATGAGGCCAGTTATATACCGACATTGTTCTCGCATGTGCCCAGACCGATGAACTTTTTCCAGAGAACGTGGAACGTGGTCGCGATGATGATCGAATGGACGGTAGCTAACACGCTGTTCAAGTGGAACGCTCAGTCTGTGGCGGAGAAGACCCACGGACCTGGGATGTTCGATCTTAAGGAGAAGAGCCGCAATGTGACGTTGATGTTCGTGAATACGCATTATACCCTTCACGGCGCTCAACCGTTTCCACCGAACGTGATCGAAGTTGGGGGGCTTCACATACCGCGGAAGACGAATCCGTTGCCTCAGGACATCGCGAAGTTTCTGGATGATGCCCACGAAGGAGTTTTGTACTTCAATCTCGGCTCGGTGGTAAAAATGTCCACCGTGCCGGAGGATAAATTGACGATTCTGTTGAATATGTTCGCCTCTATACCCAGGAAAGTGATCTGGAAGTGGGAGACCGATGATCTGCCCCATAAACCTAGCAACTTGTTGGTTAAGAAATGGTTACCTCAGTTCGACATAATGAGTAAGTAATATCGTGATAAGATTTCTGATCGGAAAAACGATACTCGTGGATAATCTTGTTATGTATCGATATGATGATACAGTGATTCGTAAATTTGTTCCCGTAAGTCGGTCACATTTCATTGATCAAATTATTTATCAAATTACAAATTTACTTCGAAACTGATCAGAAACGAATGACGGAACTGAAGATAATGAGGATACATAAATAGAAATGGCATAAATATTTGTATATTTGATTGTTGTTCCGAAAATATGCGAGCAAATGTAGATTATCGGACGATCATGTCCATTCAGTAAGAGATTGACAAATAACACGACGCGTGTTGCCAGTGCTTTACAATCTAGTCATCAAGATCTAGTCGATCAGTGCTAAACCATTATTCGTTGACGTAAAAGAACTTTTTATTTCTGTCTCTAGTAACGAATCGATGAAACAAAATTTTCGTTACGCACAGTTTCCGAGTAGATCACGCAATCGTCCCCAGAGACAAAGATTATTATTTATTTATTATTCTTTAAGAATATATTATCGTTAGGTTTTCCAGTATTGATTTTCGCCATAGTAAAATGTCACACAAAAGTAATGAGAATTTTTCATAGATTAATCTCGAGTAATCCGCTGCAATATAAGTATTACGGGACTTGGTCTTCAATAGGGCAGTAGAGAAACGTAAAGGGTAAGAGATTTTCCATCGGCTTGCATCTTAATGAGAATTCTTAATTCCCCCTCCCACGCGTCTGTCGGATGATTCGTTTTTCGCTCGCGAAAGGAAAACTGGTTCCGAACTGTTTAATACATTTGGTTATTAGACTACGTGACGTTCCTCGCTCGTCTTACGCAACCGGTCGCTCGTTCGATAATTTGACGTTTCGAACGCTGTAAACAATGATTCATCATGATCTCGGTTGAAAGCAAAGATACAGCATGGACTTTTCAGTAACGCTGCTTAAATACACACACATACACACACGTTGCCCGTGAACTTGTACCCGCGAATAGAGCTGCAAGTCATTCGATCGATTAACGGATATTTTGCATTATTCATCTTGTCCTTGAATTTTGTCGCGTTCGTAGCTGAATCACTTAAACATTCGAAAGATAGAACTATGAATCCCCGCCTATGAGTTTGCACTATTACCTAAGAGCGCTAATAGAGAGAATAAATTCTTCTTTCACCGTTGGTCAAAATTTAGAGTCTCCTTGGTTTCATTAGATCGTCTCAAAAATAACTTCTTTCACGGTCAAAGGAAGTTGAACTCTTTCGATGTTTACGTCGAGTATACTCGTCATGATAAGATTGGATCTTTTTGTTTAGTGACGAGAATATTCGTCATTAAGTAAAAAAAGTATTTGCTATGTAAAGTAAAATTTCGATAAAATGAAAAACGTATTTGTAATTTTTTCGAGTATACTCGTCATAGCTTAAAAACAATTAAGCACACAAGTGCACGTTTTTAAAATGAAATCAAACATTCGAAATGTTAATGAAAGATATTTAATGATATTTATATATTACTGTCAACATAATAAAACATCTGATGCAAAAACTAAATTTCTATCTCATTTGTATGTTAATAAATTAATATCTAAAATTCCGAATTTACATATACATACGCAGTCTAATAATAATTGACACGTTTACTGTCTACATTTTTTCCGTCAGAACGATAACCTCGTTATTCACAACATTGTAAACGTTACTATTTACACAATCGAATGTTTTTTCATACAATTTAAATTGCGTCGATCATCGACGCTCACCGTGGCAGTGAACGTGTTACAGAATAACGATAATAAAACTTTCATGCAAAATTAATTGTTCAGTCTGACGGACGATAATTGGTAACTGGAAAAAGTAACAGAAGGTAATAGAAGGGCGCAAAGAATGATTCGGTGCTCGAAATCGAAATTGAAATTCCGTTATTGCGATTGAAATTGATCGGGACGAAGGGGGATAGGGAGGGGGCGGACCGTCGAAAATCGTTGCGAAATATCGAGAGCGGATTTCGACGCAGGAACGGTTTCGAGAGCGCTTCGGTATTTCGTTGCAGCGGCAGCGCCCCGTGGCAGCGAGCGTCAAATAGTTTAGAAACTTTCCTGAAACGGCTCGCATAGTCGAGGAGCTTTTGATGTCCCCGAAATGATAACGCAACGTTTGATATGCAACATGTCCGGCGTACGATCGTTGAACGGCAAATTATTCTAAAATCACAAAATCATCTGTAGAGAGAAAACAATTGCCTCTTGACATGCGTATCGGATCGAAATTATCGATTGCTATTTCGACGATCGTGTCCCGTTCGCTGTTCACTTTCGAGTTGGTAGCACATAGGTATAGAAGGAAAGTAGAATTAAAAGGATCTTCAAGGTGCAGCCACGGACCTACTTTCCAAGGGGGCCCTAATCTAAGCCTTCCATTTATGTAAACAAAAATAATTGAATGAAATTTTGTTCCTGTTTCCCTCTTCAAATAATTAGAAATTGCACTAAATGTAGAAATAAATCGAAACAAACGTGTTGAAATATAACGTTCGTCATTATTAAATGTTATTCAATTTTACTTAGAATAAATTTCAATTTTGTAAGGTTTATGTATTTTTTGTATATTTTATTACAAATATTTGTTGAATCCCCCTCTGTTCTTCAGCCAAGGGGGCCCTCGAAGGTTTGATAGCTCCGGGCCAGAAAAATCTTAATTCGGGCCTGGATGGAGAGTGTTCGTAAGGTCTCGATTATTATAATGGTCAGAGTGCATCTCGAGTCTACGGTGCGTTAGTAAGTAACGGTCATCAAGTTGATCGACGGGGTCCCTAAGAAGATAATGATCTCCATTGTCGAAAGTAGGTTGAGAGAAGGGTTTTTTCAGAGGAGAAGGGGATCACCACCATGATTTCCGGTCTGTCCTGAATATACACCGTCAGTTCGTTTGCGGCAAAGACGTTCTTCCGACGGGTTTGTGGACCGTTCGCTGTTTGTCGAAGAGGGCGGCGACGCGGCGGGGCGGGAAAGGGGGACCGCGGGAACTCTCCTGCAGGTAGTTTTGCAGCCTTCTGGCCTCTGGTAGACGCAAAATCACTTTAATTAGGCAATTCGCTAACGACCCGCTGGCAACATAAATCACCGTTAAACCTTCCACGGGACGGGAGACCTCATCCCTGTTGGCGTTGCCCTGTCGCTTCTTTCCAACCCTTTACGGCGACAGTTTGGAAGTCAGTAGCTTAGGTACTTGCGTGGTCAGACTCGGGGAATCGATTGTAACGCGATGGGAGCAAGCGAAAGAGGGAGGGATACTTTTTGCACTATCATTTCGCTTTGAATCGTAGACATTTACGTAACAATTGTTATGTGTTGACGTGATGGTTCTGATTTTCGCGAAAAGCGATTAGTATGGATTTTAAATCGCGCGATTGTGACGGCGTAATCGATAATAACGCGGAAACGCCGTTCGTATTGCACAATTCTGGTATCTTTCTTGCGCTGAATACGTAATACATGATGTACGATGATCAATGAATTTATTTCCATTACATAGGCTTTTAGGGGAAATGACTTTTGGAACTTCTATGCAAAACGCTGGGAACGGCACGATTTTCGCGTAATACTCATCACGAAACTTTCGAGAATGTCATAATGATCATTAGACATTTTTGTTGCTTTCTCGAACTACGCTTATTTTGCATTTGATATACAAACTATACTTTCGTATGCTCAGTGCTCTGCACAGAATCTATTCTGTTCAATAGTGTCGTTATCAATGTACAAATACATACGAAGCATTTTCCAATATCATATGTTTCGTAACGTAGATTAGATTATTATCATTAAAGAATGAGTCATTACAGTTTTTCGATTGGAATTGAAGAAATAATTTCTATGGTAAACAGAATTAGGTGACAGTAGAGTCAAAAAGATCAAAATACTTGGTCAAAGAAAGTTTCGGAAGTCTGTTTTTCATTAAAATTTCTTCGATCGTGAGCTCTTCAAGAAATTACCCAGTACAAGAAATCAATTCTGCAGAGTGAGACACGTCCCCGAACAGTTGAAGCTCTCTAGCTCCTTTTCCGAGCGGGTTGTTGCCATCGCGCCGGCCGTTGGCCAGATAATCTAGCTAGAAACTGGCGGTAACTCGACCGGAGGCTGGGTTCGATCGCTTTAATTTTATTATCTCACCCGCTGTGACTGCTGTATTCTGGGGTCTCGTGGTCTCTGGCTGGGTCGCGCCGCCTGGCCACCCGCTTCTTCGTGATCACGATAAGATCGTGGTTGTGCTTTGCCTCGTGTTAGATTCGCACCGCTTTAACCAGTCGCGCCACGCGAAAAGGTGCCACGTAACCCCGACAACAGCTGATCGTAACGCGGGGTTCCTTGCACACGACCTTGTTTTTACTAAACCGTGGAAATCGTCAGTTTCGCTCTGCTTAATTGGGTACCGATATAGATCTTTTGTCGTCGTGGATATACAGTAACGTCTCGATGAGTGCGACATACTTCTGTCCACTTCGGAGCATTCATAGCAAGATGGAAAGATTTTCAGCCTCTCATAAATTTTTTTTCCCGAAGCCAAGCCTCTGCTTAGCTTCTGTTTACTCCTTTTTTTATTAGTTCCACAGGGGGATTCCCCCAATGGTGGGAATAATACCGTTGCTCGTGTCGTATTCATCTCTATCACTGTGATAAGCTTTATAAAAAAGTCAGCGTTGCACTTGGTACCTCTCAATGCCAAGGAGCCTTTGAATATTCATCAAGGATTTACTGTACATTCGATTAAGTTTCGGTTCTTTGAGCTTTGTCCCAAATAAACGGTTACTTCGATTAACCTAACGACCCAAATAAGAATCTACTGGCTACTTACTTCTTTTTTATCTGACGCAATTGTAATATATAACGGGAGGGTAGAGGCAAACGGTGAATTTCCAAGGCGACACGGGGAAGATCGATCTAGTTTTCTGAAATTTGAATACTCTATTCCGGAGGATCGATCGAACAAACGGACCACCTCGACACAGGCTTGATAAATCGACGTGGACTCTCTCTTGATCACAGGAACCAGTCCAGTTTTCGCGACGGGGTGTTTGCAATCGATTCCGTCGATTCGCATACGATCCACTAATGTAATTGATTTTAGAGGCAACGATGTCGGTAACAGGGAAAGGGGGGGATGTGTTGACACGCAATGCCCTCGGGTATCGCATTTAACGGTGGCAAAGCTGGGGGGATGAAACGCGCGCGGGTGGGGATCGCGTTACCTACGCCCCCACCCACCCCCAGGTCGGTGGTAAAAGCAGAATTATTCGATCCTGGCGAACAACTTTATTCCGCTCGGTGTATATCCATTAAGGAATAGGATATACTTCTTTGTTACTTTCACGGGTCTATTAGATGGGACGTATTCAGACGGCCATTGAGGCGGGGGTGCATGCTAACTCCATGCAACGGTTGGTGATGCATCGTGGAAATTTCAAATGGGAATCGATCGCGACTCAATTTGTCCCGTGGATTTGCGGAAGCTCTCTCGACGTTGGACGACTCGAATTAAATCCGACACACCGATCGTTTCCTATCTCCCGCGGGTTAATTCATTCGGCTGCGATACCGATTTCTTGTACATAATCATCCGCGAATCTGGCGACCTTAATTCAGAAGACCGTCTGAGTTAAATACCGGCTTCGTTAAATGGAAAAATGGAGTTAGAACAGTTAAAAACTCGGGCGACGATATAATAATGCCAGGCCATCCGTCATTGATTCATCTCGAAACATACGTATCCACGCAGGATAAACCACACAAGAATTCATCGTGTGATTCGGTTAATTTCCCGAACAAATTAAACAGCCAGTCACATCCTTCTGTTACCGTCTTGCTCGGCTCGCTGTTTCGACACGGGCGAAATATCAATTCCCTGTGGTGGGCGGGGGATCTGCGTCGTAAAACGCTGGGAATGCCCGACGGGAAATACCAGCGCGTTATTTCCTCATTACAGCCGTCGTAAAAGTGTCTGCTGCCGCCGCGTGGGAGCAGCGAGGGGAGGGGGGGGGGGGGGGACAGAATTTCGTGGAAATCGGTGTAGGCGGTGGAGGAACCGTCGTCTACCGATTTTTCCTTCTCTCAACTTCTTGTCGGTGTGCATACGCGACGTCTGCCGCAAAAATTCACGCCTGGTCCCCCAGATAGATATCCTTCTGTCACGTATCGACGATGCTCGCGATTCGACGATGTATCGGCCGCGAAACCTCGTCGAACGTTCGCCGCCGTTTCGACGACACGTACGCGCGCATGTCACGTCTCTGTTGCTGCGATGATGGGGAGGGGTTGTCGAAGGCGAGCTGCGAAGGGGTGGGTGGTGTTGGCGTAATGGAATTTGACATTAGAATTGACGCCAGAGGTGCGGAATCACGAGCGATGGCGACGCGGTATCGCACCCTTAAGGCCTTATTTCCACTTGAAATGATGCGACTGAATCGCGGGCAACACCAAAATTTCTCACAATCAGTATCATAGGGTAAATGCACCAATGAATGGACACTTATGAAATTTTTCAACTACTGCAGTCAAATTTGAAATGATAATACTACTAGATTTTTGGCACATGACAATTAGATTTTTTTATGTGTATACCTTATTATAAAATGTATAGATTTCAATTTGAAATATTGGAAAAATATAATTAATTAAACTAAGAAGAAAAGAATACAGATTTTACCAGTGATTGAACGATATTAAGTAAATGAACATTTCTAACCAATGGCGCGAAAATTGTTTGAATGTAAAACAAGGAATTGAACAAAATCCATACTTAATCGTTTGAGTGTGTTAATAAATTAACGAATTATGACCCTTCGTCAGTCGCAAGTGGAAATAAGGCCTTAGACGAGAAAGGGTGGGTTTCTCGCGATAAACGCAGCCATGAGAGGAATTTTTTAACGGAGCGTACCTCCTTCCCCAGAACGGGCAGGATTTATTTAGAGACGAAACTGTCCCGACAGGCTCCCTTGGTCCCTCCCTTATTATATGGGGGCGGCGTGATTCTTCCGGCGGAGATAGCATTCACGGGCCCGCTCGTAATAAGCCTCGTATCGCGGGGATCCTATCCCCCCAGTACCGAAAGTGTTTCATATTTGACGGCAAGGGAATGAAATCTAACGTCGTATATTTACTAAAAGAGCCACCCCCTCCTTTTCCTCTTTCATGGACGACGTAGAGGAGCTTTTCATCTTGTTAAACCGGGCTGGAATTTTCGGCAGGCTGATATCTCGTCCTGTTAACCGTTGTACGAGCAACCGGGTACCTATTTCAATATTTCCTTCGACAATTTTTTATGTTCTTGTGTGAAATATGGGAAAATTGTTCCGGGTCCCCGGTCTCCGGACACTTTCATCGTCGATTTATATTTTGGAAATGAAACTTTATACAACGAAATTTTTAATATTTGAAGCTACATATTTATTCAAACACAAAAACTCTCCCGCCAGCAGAGTGTCAATATATTATAGGAAGGGAAAGCTACAAATTTCGGGAAATTATAAAAGTAAAATAATCCATATTTATCTAATCTATTATGTATCTCCGTTGCTCAACAATCATGGAACATTTCGGTTGCCCTCACAAGCGTCTAAAGACAGATTCCTCTTTCTTTGCGCAGACCACCCGAACGTCAAGTGTTACTTCGGTCACGGAGGTTTATTGGGACTCTCTGAGGGTGTTCACACCGGTATACCGATGATACTGATGCCGTTGTTCGGGGACCAGTACCAAAACGCGATGGCAGCTCGGGCCAGAGGTGTCGCCATAGTCCTGAAATACAGCGAACTGAACGAGCGGGACTTGAGGCACGCCGTCGACGAAATTTTCAATAACACCAGGTACGTTCTTTCACCCTTCTATAGGGATGGAATCAAGTTTAATATGTATTTAAAAAGCGAGTCAATTTCAATAACAAAGTTTCATTTCATGGGTTTCGATTACTACTCAACCCCGTCACTGTACTCCAACTGTTACAAGTCTGGCTTTCCTGTTTCAAAGCATTTATGAAACGTTCGAAACTCTCCAGTTCGATTCGAACCTACGTGTAATATGCATTATCCCCTCTCTAGCCCTCTATTCACCCACGTTTCGGTTCCGCATAAACAGTGAACAGACACAGGATGAAATTATTCGGAATCCCTGCGAATTAATCCACACCAATACGGAATATCAACGATTCATGGGGACGCGATAACAGGGATGGGGGGAGTTCGACTCGTCTCGCGTCGTCAGACGTCGAAACCATCGTCATGCCATCTCACCTTTCAACCTCCAATAAATGATTCATACCTGGTGGTTCGCGACGATACGTGGGATATCGCCGCGTGTGTTCCTTCCCGTGCAACCTATCAGTTTATCCACCCCCCTCCCCAAAACTTTGCGCTTCAATCCAGGTCGTCTGCTTGGTGGTGGGGGGTATCACGTCGGGAAAAGAAAACTAGACCAAAAAAAAGGGTAGGGAAGAGAAACGGATGGGATTGAGGGGGCTGGGGTGTGGAAGGGGGGAGGGGTAGAACCGCGGCAAAAAAGGAAAATCGTATAATCTGCCCGGATATTCGGTCCGTTGAATATCTCACGAGCTGTCCGGATGCTCGGATATCCGGGAAGTGCACCGTCGTTGCAGCACAGGCGGCCAACCCCCTCCCCTCTGCACCGTTAATCCGTAACGCGCGCGGCTCACTGGCGTTTTTCCACCCTTCTCTGTTCACCTCGACCTACGATCCCCACCCCTTGTGTCGTTCCTCGTCGCCGACACTTTATACTTTATGCCGTCTCCTTCCTCTGCACCCCCTCACCCCACTAACCCACCTGTGCCGGACACCACCATTCTTTTTGCTGTCTTTGTTTCCCCACCTCGTTCCAGCAGAACGGGGTCTTAAATTCGAGGCACGAATCACGGAAAGGGCGAACGTGTTCTCCGGATATGGTGCCCTCGTCCATCGACAAACACACAGTACGGTGGCTTGGGGCCGGATCGGGGGGAGGAAGCGTCACGCCTGCACACGGCGCGCAGTTTGTACGAATGTATCCTGTCGGTCGCATGGGAAATTTCACGGCCGCTAAATGTTTCACGGTGCGAATCAACGCCGTGGCTCGATGACGACGTGGCGGGGAGGGTGGGAGAGACCGGCCTCGCTGAAATTAAATTCTACATTATTCAATGCCGCCGTCGGATAACTTGTTAACCGCACAGTTCGGGTTATGCGTTGTATGTATAGGTGCGCGTCTGGGCCGGTTTCTGTTTACGCTCGCGGTCCGCGGGATCCGCTACTTGCGACAATTGACCGACCGTGAATATTTCATTCGTTTCGGTTGGATAGGGATTGTGGATGACCGTTATGTCGCGAGATTGATGGACACTTTTGGATATAATTATTAGGGCACCTGTTTTCGACCGGGGAAAGCGTAATAGTAGATGGAGATTGTATATTTTGGATCGCTTTTACCGTTTTATTAGACTGTACCGTATGAAGTGGATGGTTTTAATTTTAAACACATTTTCTAGGACGACAGGAACACTTCGAACGAGATATTATCTGATGCATTCCATTTTTATGGAAATCAGTGTTTTTTACGATTGCAGGAATTCTTCGAATTGTACGACTACCGATTCGAGATTAAGGAATGTTTTGTTTCTGAGAAGGAGCTCTCGACAACAAAGCGATGGTTCGTCGAAGGTTCGTCCTGTGCTGGTCGTAATATAAGTGGACCTCGTGACGCGGACGCCTCGTCGCGACGTTCACCGACGATCGTCACGTTGGCCCCGTGGCAGTGAGCAGGCCCGATTACGCGGCCCTATATTTCGATCACGTAACCCACGGGAATGCAAATTGCGATCGTCCAATTACGACGCGGCTCGAATCTATTTATTAATTAATATTCAAGGCGTTACGTAACGGGGATACAATCGCACCTGCCACGTCGCGCCGCCGCGGAGGATCGCAGCGGCGTTCGGCATCCACCCCCTACCCCCTCTCCCCCTGTTCCACCACTGTCGAAGATCCAAGGCGCGCTCGTAAATCGTGGCCTGTCGTAATTACCCCGGGGTACCGAGCCACGTCGAACGCGAGCCTGCCAACGCTTTCGCGTCCGTTCTGATTTATTAAGCAGCTTTCGTCGCTGGGTGACTCGCGTGGATCGTAATTAAATCGGCGTTAAATCATAAGCGAAAAATAACGAGGGGGTGGGTAACAGTCGTTTCGTAGGTCCGTCGGTACGGGGAGAGGACCTCCTCGAGCGTTGGTTCGGTAACTGTTTAATTGCGGAACTTTCGCGTGTAGGCTTCAGGATCCAAGAGTTCTCTGACTTCGTCGAGTGGTCGTTCCGTTCATAAGTATAATCAAAACGTTCGATATTGAACGTGTATAAATGCAAACGAAATTTCAATACGGTAGCGAAAAGTAAACGAAATTGCGTAAGGCAATGTTTCTAGAAATAAGAGAGGAAAATGTTTTCGGAACAACAGCTTTTCCTATGATATTTGAATTAGGGGTACCATTTATATTACATTATAGATAAGAAGCCTCTTAAGATTACCCTTAGATCAGGGATACAGAACACATTGTTACGTTGTTCTATTATTCCAACAATTTCTAGAAACAAAACTACCATCGCTAAGTATTAATCACGTTAAATAACTAACGTTTATATACCTCGATCCCGTTCTTCGTCCATATTCACCACAGACATTTGCAACGGGAAGTAACGGCACGATGAGCAGATATCGACAATCTGACGGAAGTTTCCAAACAGCACGATTAAAGTAATACGTTATCGTCGCGCAGCCCCGTATCTGGATAGTATCCACTTAAAGACACATCGGGGCAATAAACTCGGCAGGATCACGAATTCCTGGGTCGACAGAGTCAAAGTGACGGTCGTCTATTCCGTCGTTCGGCCATGAAAGCTTCACCTCTGGTAGCAGGGGGTGATCAGCGTGATCTTAAAATCGCCATAACCGAAGTTATATTATCGTCTGCGGTTCACGACTTCTCGACTGGGTGGGTGGGTGGATAGAGGATGGGGCTCGCGACCCTTGTCACCGATGCGCAGCTTGTTCGATTCTCTGAATCCCCGGTTCCATGTCCCGCGAGGACCACGCGAAGTGGCCATTCAATTCCCTTTGGATCTTCGCGCATGATTGCGCTTGTAAACCAACTTCAACTTACCAGGCGTTTTAGTGGCGATCAAAACGGCACACACCGACACTGATGTAGTCGACATTAACCCTTTGAGACTTGAATTTTTTTTTTGCAATACACTATATCTTAAGGCTTTGTGGGAAATTGTAAGAAACTTTATGCACACAAATACGAACCATCTAACTTGAATATAACGATCGCTTTGAATTTCGTTCGATTTTATCGGACCTCGAGGTCACGGTTCCATTTTCCCGGTGTGAATCGCGATACATTAAGCAGTCGAGCTGCCGTCCGTGGAAAAACTTCTCGTTTCAGACTTAACGGGTGAGAAAACACGGTTCCTGGTGCAATTAGCGTGCCGACTTAGTGGACACGGTCTCCCGTTAATTCGCCACCGGCTGAAGAACCGCCGGAAGAAAGTCGTGTTTGAACACCTGTCCTCGAGTTACTGATCGCGACGATCCTTTTCTTCTCGGTTTCACCAGCTACACGGCGTCGTCTGTTAATTCCTCGTTCCGTTCACGTGCTATATTAGGTGCGCCAATGATCGATCCACTATTCTGTAGAGAAAAATAGTAGTATACATAGTGTCGCTCTAAGGTTAAGGATATTTTCGATTCGGTCAAAAGTGGCGTAAGATCTTGGAGAATGACCACGAGTATTGATGGAGTAGTGATCCTTAACCCCTTGTCTTACGATTTTCTTTATCGTTAATAATTTCCCAGATACAAAAGGAATTTTATCTTTAGGGCAAGTGTAACATTTACTCTAAATCTTAAATATTAATACTAATGAAACAGAATGTCACTTCGACTCAAAGAAAATGAATAGTATACATGTTTATTAAATCCATTTTGAAATCGTCATTACCTGTCTGACTCGATGTTATAAGGCAAGGGGTTAACTTGTTTTAAAAAGGATAATATCCTCAATAATATTTCAATATGGATCATCGTGATATCCCATAATATTCATCTCCACGATTGTATCGCGACCCAGTCATAAATGGGTCACCGAAGTCACAAGGTTCAAAACGTTTAAAAGACCAGCTCGAGTGTGTCGAGCCTCGAACACCTCCTTCGAGCGTTCACCCTCTCAAGAATAGACACGCGCGTGCACGTAGGTACATTCGGACCGGTGAAAGGAACGGCGCTTGCGTATGTATGTGTGTGTGTGTGTGTGTGTGTGTGGCGAGGCGTGCAAGCTGCCACGGAAAGCCAGCAGTCGGAAGGGCGGGCGGGAAGGGGTGGTGGTAGTCAAAGTTTCGGCAGTTTGTAAGGAGGTACGAGGCACGCCCCTGCTCCTCCGCTTCTTCTTCGGTTACGGCTGAGGGATAACATAGTGCAGCTCCGTCGTCAAGTTAGCCCGACACCCAACTCTCGCCCCCTTTCCTTTTCACCCCTTTCCTCCCTCATACTCCTGCTAGTCCGCTTTGTCCTCCGGTTTTTCGCTCGGTTCGCTCCCTTCATCTATCTTTCTCGGTTTACTCGTCCTCTCTCGTTCCTCCTGGAACCAACCGACCCTCGCCTCGCTTTATTGCTCTGTTGTTCTCGTCCTTATTCTCCGTCGAGCTTAACCCTTTTCACCCGACGACGACGACGAGTTTCAGCTTGCGGAACCGACCCCACGGAATATCGTCACATCCCCCGTTTCCCGGTGGCTCGTTCGCCGGGACGTCCTTTCGTTCCACGGATTTA